CAAACAAATCCCGCTCAATATAGCATATCATGCTATTATTCATCCAATCATCATTCATTTTATTCCTCCTGTCGGTCTTGATAATATTTATAGCAGAGAAGGCTCTTTCAACTGTTGCTGTTGCCACGGGCAATATCAATGCAAGCTCAATGAGGCGATACACCAAAGGAAAATATGTATGTCTATCAGTTTTAACCATCTTCTCAGCAAGGCCACCAAGATCAATACAAGAGCAAAATTCTTCATCTTCATCATGTTTGACTTCATCCATGAAATTTTCAAGCTCAGTTCTTAGCTTTTCACATTCATAATCACTAAAGTCAGCATAATAAATCTTAGCAAGCTCAACTAATTTCTCTATCTCAAAGTTGGCAAACTCATTTGTCAGATCAAGACAAGCAACACATCTCAATAGTTGAGTTGATCTTTCTGAAAATTGATTGTTCAACTCACAAATTATTTGATCAAGGACAACATTGAAAATCCCATGATGAATATGATGGTAGTAGGTCACATATTTGGCTCCACGACATTTTGAACGACCTCTCATTGGTATCATATCTTCCATATTAGGAATGTCTATATTGTGTTTGGCAGCAAAGGCTTTTGTCTTCTCTAAAAGATCATCCCAACCATTTTCCCTCATGGCATTTATATTTCTCATCACAGAACCAATCAATCCTATTGCACGAACAATGTTTTGATTTTTCTTTTGCAAACATTGTGATAGGTCTTGAGTTATCCCCAATACTCTGGCTACAGCAACTACCACAAGCTGCAATTGATGAGCAAAACAGTGGATGTAAAAAGCAAAAGGGTTTTCATTCAATACCAGCCTTTGTAACCCATGAAACTGCCCTCTCATGTTTGAAGCTCCATCGTATCCCTGTCCTCTAACCTTGGCTATAGATAACCCGTATCTCGCAAGCATAGAAACCAATGCTTCCTTCAGTGAAGATGATGTGGTGTCAGAAACATGTTGTAGGCCAAGGAACCTCTCAATCACACTTCCTTTATCATTGACAAACCTATAAAACAAAAGGAAACATAGTGTTAATTGGAAGCCACAAAACAAAAGAAATGAAATACACGAATAGATGATATATACCTCACAACCACGGCCATTTGTTCCTTAATTGATGCATCACGAGCCTCATCAACAAGCACCGCAAACCAACGATCTCCAATTTCACTCTTAATTAATTCACTTGTCTCCTCTGCACAAGCCCTTACCAAATCTTTTTGAATTGTTGGACAACTCATTTGATTATTCCCTGGAGCATTCTCAGCTATCACAAGTGCAGCCTTAGAATCCTTCTTTTTATACCAATCAAGCATCTCCAAAAAGTTCCCTTTATTTTTAGATGTTTTAGACTCATCATGCCCACGAAATGCCAGAGCTTGCAAAAGAAGAAATCTAGCAATGCCTAACATTATAGTTAAACGAGCTTTATATGCCTCCTCTTCTGCTGCAGTTGTTACTGCCCACACATGTTCTACACTTTGTCTTTGATTTTTGAAATCATTTGCTCGTTTTCTTGCTGCACTATGGTAGCCATCAATTGATTGAGTATGCTTAAGCAAAGAAGCCTTTCCCTTTTTCCAATTTTTGAACCCTACTCTGGTGAATGCCTCATTATCATCAAAATTGCTTGCTGATGGTGGCTTAAAGAGGTAGCAATAAAAGCAATAGGCTGCATCCTTGGCAGGACTGTACTCTAACCAATCAAATTGAGTAAACCATGATTTAACAAAACCTCTAGTTTGAGTTTTACCCGCTGTTCTTTCATACTCACAATTTGGTTGATATGGACTCATCTGTAAATATGCTCTCCTAGCATCATCCCTAATATCATGGTGGAATTCATCAATTGGCTTTCTAAGACCTGGATCAGCAACTATATCATTCATATCAAGCTCAATGCGGGGTTTTTTTTGCACAACCCGACTCTCTTGAGTAGAAGCATCTTTCTTAGCAATTTTTTTTCCATTCTACAACTACAAAGTAAAACCAATCGAATCACTGACTGAAAAAAATAAAAGAGGAGTTAAAGAGGCCAGAGCCGCACAGAGGGGACCTGGCACCTGGGGGCTGGCCGGTTGGGGACTTGCCGACTTGGGGGCTTGGGGTGATCAGCCACGCCATTGCTGGCCGCCTGGATGGCGCCGCCCGTCCTCCCTGGCTGCAGCACTGCAGTCGCACGCTTCTGGCTCCCAACTCCGGCCGTGGGCGGTGCCCAATCCTCGGCTGGCCAATGCGCGGAGCAGAGGGAGCGGGAGGGGGGCGAGGGCGAGGGGGCGAGAGCGAGGAGGCGCGACGCCATGAAAGCGAGCGAGCCATGAGCCCCTTGAGGCCTTGGCGGGCGGGCGCGGGCGCGATCTGCGCTACCCACGACCAGCGAGGAGCGCCTGGGCGGCGCGCGTCAAGGCGTCTGGCCGTGAGGCCGTCTGCTCTGCTGGCCGGTTTTTGGGCTGGGCTAAAAAGCATTAAATTTTTTTAGACCCACCGGGGCTGCAGCCTTCAGACGTCCGCCAATGCTGATGTGCCCCCGAGGCAAATCGGACACTGGTTGCGCCATGGTCTCGCTAAAGCGCCTTGGTGACCATACTGACCATTGTGGTGCACCGTTTAGCAAGTTTAGAGATCTAGAAATATGTTTTCAAAGTTTTTGGATCTACTATAAGTTTGGAGATACAGATGTTGCTGATATTTTTTCTACAAACCTAGTCAAACTTAAAAGAGTTTGACCGGCATGATTACCATAGACCAAGTGACACTTTTTTCGGGGCCGAGGAGCAAGTGCATCGTTTACCAAGTGATTGCCCTGTTCGTTTGTGCTGGTTTGGCTTATAAGCCATGGCCGAAAGTACCGTTGGCTAGTTTCATGTGATAGAAAAATACTGTTTATTAGCTGATAAGTCATGGCTTATAAGCCAAATACGATCGAGCGAATAGGTTGGAGGTCAGCCATGCATTTAACATAGGAAAATGTCAAGGACTCAGCTATAGTAGGGATTTTGGCGTTACATTGATTGAACCTGAACAGGTCCACGACCACGTGAAGCGCTCCCGCATTGGCCTTGGTGGCACGTGGCAGTGGCAGCAACAAAGATGACGATGACTTGCGTCCGCACGTGCTTCGGTAGGGGGCAGTGTCCGTACCGCTTGTATGGACGATGAGTTCGTGCCACTACTGTAGATTCAAACTCTGATTCACGAAGTCATCCAAGAGCTCGTGTACAGAATCCTTTGCCTGGAACGTTAGTCGTTTGCCTTTCTTAGCAGGTGCCACGTGCACCATTTTTATATTTATATCTATCTATGCCACGTCGTCTTCGTCACTGCCTCAATGGCCTCACGTCTCACGACATGGCAACACACACTAGCTCTGTGCATTGAATTGAATAATAATAACATGAGACGGGAAGCATGGCCTGCGAGGGCTCCACCTCCACGGAGACGGCGATGTGGCGGCGCTGGACGCCAATGAACGCCTTGTCTTGGGCTGACGACCCGCCGCCGTCTCCGTTCGGCACGAGCGTGGACAGCGAGGCCGCAACCACCGGCACTGCTGTCTCGGACGCCGACGAGAGGCGCGGCCTCGTGGCGGCGCGCTCTGCATGCGACTGCGCCGGGCGCGCGCGTGACGACGCCGTGTTGGCCGTGAACGGGCCTGTCATGTGTGCGCATCAACTCGGCATGGGCTCGGACGAGGACCTCCACTCCGCCGCTGCTTCCGGATCTCTACGGCACCGACCGGCCCGGTCGCCGCCGCCCCCGGCGAGAACGAACGACGACAAGGTCACCCACGCCACGCGGCCGCACGCCGCAGCAGCCAGCTGATACTTGCGTGCGACGTTGGCATTTCTCCAGAGCTTGCTGCATGTGTTGCCATCCATTGCCTGCCAATGCCAATCGCAGCCGGCAGCTTCCCCTTCCGGCCCACCACTCGCCCCTCCATCTCCACCTCCTCCTGCGCTGCGATCGGAGGCGCGCCGGAGCCTGACGAAGGATCTGGTGGCGGCGTACGCCGGAGCATGCACGTCCATCGACATGGAGTTCGCCTGCAGTCCGTCGTATTGGACGGTGACCACGTCCGAGCCCTGCACCGTGAACACCGCCGCCGCCACGACGGCCGCGCGCGTGCGGAGGACGACGGCGAGGACCAGCTCCAGCCCTGTCCGTGGCCGTGGAGCGCGCCCTCTATATGGCGGCGCTCGAGGCCACCAAGAGCGCCGTGTGCTCCGCCTCGGCGTCGCGGAACCGGCCGCCTCTGCTGCCGCCTCGGACGCGGGCGGTGTCTCTGCTGCCGTAGCCGCGCAGGTGGTGTGGACCCCGGTCGACGTCGTCAGCCAGCGTCTCATGGTCCAGACGGCGCCCGTTGCTGCCGCCCGAGCGGCTCCTCTGGCCTGCCGTCGGCCCCGCGCACAACGACAGCCGCGATGGCCGTGCAGGGTGCGAGCGCCGGCGCGGCGGGAAGCGCGGCCGCGCTGGTGACGATGCCACTGGACACCGTGAAGACGCGGCTGCAGGATCGGTCACGCGGCGTCCTTCGTCCACGACATCCAGGATCGGACTCGGACAGCACTGCAAGCCCAGCAGCGGAAGCCGCACGACCTGAAGAAGGCCTGGAAGATGTCGCTGCTGAACTGAACCTGAGCGCAGCACCTGACTGAGCCCGCGCGCGTTCGTGAACCGGTCGGTGCACGCAGTGTGGCCGCTTGAGCCCACGGGGTTTTCCGTTGGAGCCCCGCCGGCCGCATTGTGGCCGTACACGGGCTGCTCCCACAAACCGGCGCGCCTACCTGGATCCAGCTGGATCACAAAGGCGGCGGCGGCGGTTGCCGAGGTCGGGCCCGCAATATAACCGCCCTTCCCTTCCCCATCCCCTCAATTCGTTTCAATTTCAATTCAACGGGCAATCCCCGTTCCTCCAACCCCTCAACCCCAAAACCGCCTGAGCAACCTCCCCGGGCCCGCGACAGCCCCGCCCGCCCCCATGTCGTCGTCCTCCTCCTCCAGGGCGAGGGCGAGCGAGTCGGGCGGACGCGACATTCCTTGGGTGCTGCTCGACCGGACGCCTCGCCTCACCGACTTCGGAGGGATGGCCCACGACGCGGACGTCCTGCTCGAGCTCGTGCCGCCGCCGGCCGTCTCCACAGTCTTCCTCGACCGCGCTCTGCTCCCCGACGCCGCCGCCTGGGAGACGGCGCCGTGCCGCGTCGAGGGCGCCGACGCGTCGGGACACCTCCTCCTCGCCTTCCCCTCGCCGCGAGCGCCCGGGGAGTCGAACCTGCTCGTGTGCCGCCCCGTCCCCCCAGCAGCAGCGGCGGCGCCGGCAAGGCCAAGGGCAAGGGGCACTTCCTGCCCGCGTTCCCGGAGGATGTGCTCGGCCTCGCCATCTCCCCGGCCGCTCCCACGGGCATCATCGCGGACCACGGGGCGAACACCGGCGACGCCTATTTCGTAGCCCAGGTGCAGAGCGCGCCATCCTCCACACCAGTCGTCGCGGTCGCGCTCTGCTTCTCCAGCGACGAGAGCAAGTGGACCGTCAGGGAGGTGGCCGGCGACGACCGCTGGAGAGACTTCCACGCAAACTCCGTAGTCTCGCACGACCGCGGCGTCCACGGCGACGGCCTTCTCGTCTTCGTCGACAGGAACCACGGTCTACTGCTCTTCCATCCGTGGGCGATCGCGTCGCGCTTCGTCCAGTTTCCCGATCCTCCCGAGGGCGGCGGCGGAGGAGAGACCGAGGAGGAAGCTGACGCCTCGGTCGACTCCAGCGAAGGCAAGATCATCTACGTCGTCTTCTACGATGTGCCCGACGGAACTATGATCGGCTTATGGTGCCTGTCCGAGGAGAACCTGCGCTGGAATCCCCACTTCAGCCTCTGCTCCGACGAGGTCTTCCACTGCGACGAGTTCCTGTTGCCGCTGCGAGGAGTTCGGAGCGTTGGACCTGTCGACCCCTACAGAATGACCGGGATGGTCTTCGCCGTGCGCTGTCCCGCCGATGGTACGTTGTCCTCGTTCTGTGTGGAGGTGACGCCGGCGGGGATGGTGCTACGGAGGGTGCAGTTGTTGGGCGACGTTGAGAGCTGTGCGTGCCAGGATTCTGTCGTGTGCCCTCTGCAAGGTACACCCAAGAGGAGCTGGATGGAGACCGTGAACAGCGCAGTGCAGGACGGAAAACAGGTGGGAATGATTGCGCTGAGCGCGGTTCAAAAGGGAAGGAAGTACGTCGACAAACTGCCCGGCGCGGTGCAGCTCGTTGGAGGAGCCCTGGGCCTCTCTCACACCAGCGCTCTGGTCAGCGCAGCGAACGCAATCAAGACGGTGAATGACTCTATCACTATCGGTGAAAACGTCTCCTCTTGGTTGCGGCAGCACCGGCCGGGGGCACCTGGACTCATCTGCAGGGTGGTGGGTACGGAACAGGAGGCTCAAGCTGCACTCGATGAATGGCGTAGCCTGGAGAAGCCCAGCAATATGCTGGTGGACCCTGCTGAAGACCTCACTCAGCAACAGTGGGATGAGCTCCGTGAGTTCTTGGTTGATAGAGGAGGTGAGACGCTCGTCCAGCACTATGATTACGAATTCGTTGGGCGCCCGCCCCGTTGATTCTTGTCTTGATACAGAGATAGTGAGATACTGTTGATTTCTGGGATTGAATCCAAGCTGTAATGCGAAGTGTGATACTGACCGTGCCAGCCATTGCAAACTGTGAATGCAAACTGTTTCTCGCATTTGCCGATGTGAATTGGTAGCAAACTGTAATACAGTGGTAGTATTCACTGAACATTTGCCGGCTGATTTGACCCTTGTTGCAAAAAAAAAATCCAGGCTCTCATTTGCCGATGTGAATTGGTCGAGTGTGCTCTTCATGCAACTAGTATGGATGAGTCAGGGTCAGTGTTTCTTGGTTACTGAGAATGGATGTGTCAGGGTCACTTGTAGTATAATACACTAGTAGTACAGTTGTGGATCTGCAAAGTGCAGTGTACTACAGCAATGACGCGACCCTTGTTGTCTCTGGACTTATATTGTCTGATTGACCCTTGCTGTCTCGACTTCTATTGTCTGAAATTTGTCAGCGTTTCTTGGTTGCGCTGGGAGTAAAATTCAGGCTCTCATTTGCCGATGTGAATTGGTATGAAACTGTAATCCAGTAGTAGTACTCACTGTTTCTCTGAACATTTGCCGGCTGAGTTCACACACAGCTCCCTCGGCCACCAGCAGGACACAGGGGTCTCCGTCTCCCTGGCGCAGGCCGCGCTTGCAGACAATCCACCAGGGGCCGTGATGATGCACCCATCTGCACGACAGCACCAGCAGGGTTTTGATGTGTTAGTGTTGATGATAGTATCCCCAGGCCTGCTTTTTTTATTGACAACGGTTGGCTGTGGTCTGATGGAGGTGTTGAGGCATCAATGTAACATCTTGGTCCTGGTAGACAGTGTATGTGTTTGCTGACTGTTGCGCAGTCCTGTTCGCCTGTGGTTGTAAGAGGCTAAAGAGGGGTGATTCCTGCATGAGTAGAAGCTGTACCTTGTGATCGGAGTTGTCGTCGGCCTTCTAGTGATCGTTGGATCATTCTGTTGTTATGCTGGTGCTGTCCGCTTTGGTCTGCAGATGTCCCGTCCCGGTGTGTATGTGCCGAGCTTGGGCAGATGATCCTTTTTAGAGGGGTCAACCCATGTCCCATGGTGCATCGACGGATATGTATACTCCTATGCAGAACCAAACATTTATTTATTACTCTTGGGCTGAATCTGGGCGCCTGGGCCGAACCTGGCCCATGGTGGGCCTTTTTCCTTGTTTCGTTTTTCCTTTTTCTAGCAAAACTGTGATCTTCTAAAATCCAGAGAAAACCAAAGAAAAATCACAAAAATGCCATGAGAGAAGATAGAGCCGTGGTTTTATTTTAGATCAAATACAAAATACGTGTGAAATGGTCTTGTGTTGAATTCAAGCAGGGCCTGAATTCAACTCATCTTTTAATTTATTCGAAAAAAAAGTTTGCTTGAGAAAATTTCCTTTACCATGGTTGGGGGGGGCGCGGCCGTCGTCGCCGACACAAGAGCGGGCGCCTAAACACGAGTTGCACGCGAGGGAGGAGGGGCTGGAGGTCGACAACCATGGGGCTGTGACAGAGGCACGAATGCCGCCCATCTTTGAAACCTAAAGCAAAAAAAAAAAAAGAAAAATCAGTTTACAATTCATCAAATAAAAATTGCGCCCGCTTCACCAGACGTAGGCAGCCTTTGGGCAGGCTCAACCAGGGGATCGGGAGCCACGGCCGAGCCAATGAACCGAGCAAGAGCAAGTCGGGAAGTAAAGCCATGTAACATCGTTCAGATTTTTAAGTTGTGTTTCCCTCGCTAACTAGGCGAGGTGGGGTTAAACCCGTAATCGGAAGGTGCCTTGGGAGTGGGGGAATCGGGCTACCGTCTTTGTGGCAGTGGGACATGGCCAATTGGGCACTTTGGGCCGCCCACTTCACGTCGATGGAGCTGGCTCCATTATGTTAATACTTATTATACGTATCATAGCTTATTTACACATATTTGGTCAAACTGAATAAAAGTTTGACTTCCTAAGTTTGACCAAATATATAAAACAGAGCATCTAGATTTGTGACATAAAATTAATATCAATAGATACACTATTATAAAATATATTTTCATAATTTATTTATCTGGTGTCCTAAATATTGTTGTATTGTTTCTTAAACATGAGTCAAATTTATTTTTTTTACTTAAGATAACTCTAAAAAATGATTTATTCAGGAACGGAGCGACTACCATTTTATTTTGATAGTCCACGCGGGTAGAGGGTCCTCGACGTGGATTTATTTCATTTCAAGTGGCTCGAAAGGCTAAATTCCAAAGCTTACGCATCAGTTTTACAGCACACGTTGTTATATTGCCTCAGAAAGAATTGAGCACCAGGCATTATAGATGTCTTCATCCCCTGATGGTAGCCAGTTACGCCAGAGTTTTGCACTAGTCTTGCATGCAGCAAGCGTCCTATTGCAGATCGTGGAATACAACATTGTGCTGTTGTTTCATAAAACAGGACGAACGCATTGCAGTGCCGCACCTCCTAGCGTGCGATGTCTGCATGATTGGTTGTATGTACCAGCGGCCGAGCCAGTGCCTCGCAATGCAAGATGCGTCTCCTAGCCAGGCCCACTGGAAAACGCAGCGGCCGTGGGGCACGACCGGGAGGCCAACGGTCATGAGGCTGCGATAGAGGCGCGGATGCAGATGACCGTTGGAGCAAGGGTGCTTGGTGACGAGGCAAAGCCAGGGTGACCCGCATAGTGTCCGTGCGTTGAATAGGCAGCAACAGCAGTTTTCCCTTCGGGAAGAAAAAGGGGATGGGGAAGGTGAGGCTGACAGTTTTCCCTCGCAATGCAAGATGCGCCTCCTAGCCAGGCCCACCGAAAAACGCAGGAATCGGGCGTTTTCGCCAGGCCAGGCCAGCGCAAGCGCAGAGCTGCATGGGAGCAGAGAGAAACGGTGCAAGGCCAGCACAATAGCAGGGTAACCAATCAGCTTCTCTGCTGGGCGATGCTGCATGCGCCTAGACAACCAAACAGATGGTTGTAAGGGCTCGGGAGGAGCTGCATTGGGTTGGAGATGATGGCATTGCAGTTGATGGTGTACTGCACCTAGGTTCTCCTCCCAACATCCTCAAGCGAATAATCTCAATTGGTTGCAAGGGCTCGGGAGGAGCTGCATTGCCTTGGAGATGATGGCATTGCAGTTGATAGTGTACTGCACCTAGGTTCTCCTACCAACATCCTCAGGCGAATGATCTCAATTGGTTGTGCGGATCAGTGGGAGAACTATGTGAGATCGGCTATGAAGAGCCAGCTGCAATGTTTGGACGTGGTTGTGCGTCGGGTGTTAGTTGATCCCATCCCTCATGGGTTTTCCCCACCAATCGATCAGCAGGCACACATCGACCCTCCCGTTCTAGAACCTTCTATGGATGTGGAGATTGCACCTATGGTTCCCGATGCTTAATCTGCCCCCAATGCGGTAGTTGGAGATGCTTGTCAGACTCATGTTTTCGTGGCAGATCCTCCTCATGAGATCCCTTTAACACAGAATAATCTGAGTAAGTGTCTTAACCACATGGTTTTTGGGAGCTTATCCCTTCCTTACATCTATTTCTTTCATTCTTTTCTCATTTCTCTACTTATGTTGCAGGAGACATTCCTGAGAATGTGGATGTGCCCCCTCTTGTTGCGCAAGTGCACTTTGGAGATGGATTCCGTGGCTCCAATAGTGTTGAAATTATGCATGATTCGGAGCCATATGAGATGGCTAGGGCTCTTGATTCTGATGATGATCGCCCTGTTGGAGAGCTAACAGAGAGTGATGTTGAGATGCTGAGGCGTATCTTTCCCGGCCGCCGTGATCCAAGAGTTCACGAGTTTAGTGATCTTGCTCATTCCGATCAGGCGTTTGTAGAAGGACATGATGATGAGCTCCTAGAAGCTCCTGAGGCTGGTCCTAACATGGTAATTAAGAATGGGAGGGTGTTCAATGACCTCCTGCATTGAAGAAGGTGGTTGCGTGCTTTTTGCAAAGATCTGAAAGAGACCTTACAAGGTATTGCATTCATATGCGAACACCGTTACTGATTGTGTGTGACAAGGAACGCTGCCCATGGAGGGTTTGTGCAAGGAAGCAACAGTCACCGGAAAATGGAAGATCACAAATGTTGTCGGGCCACACAATTGTCTTGACCATGAGTGACATTTGAGGCATCGGCAGATTGACATCTACCCTCATTGCCAAGCGGTTGATGGGAATTTTGCAGGGAGAACCCAACATGAAGGTGAGGACAATTATTAGGACCGTTGAGGCGTTGTATGGAGGTTATGTGATAACTTATGGTAAAGCATGGAGGGCTAAGCAGCGAGCATGGAAGATGATATATGGGGACTGGGAGGATGGGTATGAGCAACTGCCGGGTTTTTTCAATGCAATCAAAGCGGTGAATCCAGGCATGCATTATGAGTACATCCCAAAACCAAATGCATGGAAGGATGGGAGGCAGATATTCTTCCGTGCTTTCTGGTGCTTCCCTCAGTGTGTCGAGGCCTTTAGTCACTGTCGTCCTGTCTTCTCCATTGATGGTATGTTCTTGATTGGCAAATACCAGAGCACACTTCTTATAGCCATATCCTGTGACACGAACAACAAGTTGGTTCTTTTGGCATTTGCTTTGGTTCAGAAGGAGAACAATGACAGTTGGGGATGGTTCTTGAGGCTAGTCCGGATACACATGGTTGGGCCTGGTAGGGAGGTTGGCATCATATCGATAGGCACCAGGGCATACTTAATGCCGTGCGAGAGCCAGATAGAGGGGTATGCACCTTTGCACCATCGTTGGTGTACTCGACACCTTGCCGAGATTCTACTCTAGAAGGATGTGTGAAGGGTAACTTTGATCTGTTCCAGGAGGTTGCTCGATAGCTTGAGAACAAGTACTTTCAGAAAAAGTTGGAGCAGGTCAGAACCACATCAAATGCAGAAGGTAGACAATGGCTCACATGTTTGATGAGGGATTTAGAGAAATGGACGAGAGCTCACGACGCCGGT